TTGTTTGGCAGTTTGTCTCTCTCCCTGATCTGATCAGACTTGCTGTTTTATGTTTTAACTGCTACAAATCACTGGTTTTACATTATTGGCTTACCATATGTTAATAGTATATTTCCTACTTTTCTTAGCAGTTTTTGGTTTCCATTCATTCCTGAATGCTGTTAAAATGAATTGTTTACATTTTTTAATCATAATTCAGGGTACCCAAGTGTGCTAACACTAAACCCAGTACAGCAGGGAGAAAACACTTCCAAGACATTTCTTACTTGATTTATTTGTGCTAAATCTTTTTTTTTAAGATAAGTAAGTATTTGCTTGTAATGACAAACCCATGGAAAGTTATGAGCAAACTGCAATTGAGCTGTAGCATATTTCAGCTCGTTGTTATGGTTTTCTGACATCCAACCTTTAGCTGAGAAATCTAGATATTTCCTGTAGAGTTCATGGAGATCAAACTTGAGCTAAAAGGAGAATGCATATTGGACTTAAATTTGCCAGGTGGCCAGAAACACACCTCAAAAAATAATGATAATGTTGCTCTGTATCTGCTGGATGTGTAAATAGACAGCTATTTGCTAACTTGTTCATCTCAGCAGCTTTATATGGTGATAACGTGGTAGTTGTGTGTTTACAGATTGCTCTGCTGCCCCCGAGTGGTCAGACTTCAGCTAATGCAGCGTTGTTGCAGCGTTATGATCACAACGTGCATACAAAACATGTTGAGTGTTTCATATTTGATGATTGTGCAAGTTGTGTTTACTAAATCAGTGGTTTTAGTAAACACAAAAATCAAGATAAAAGGCTAAAAATCAAACACCAAAAATAAAAATCTTAAATTTTTTTTAAACATTATATGCTCTGGAAAGGATTGTATATGCAGGTTGTGTTAGTAGGTTCAGTCTGTCCCTCCTTGCCTTTTTCACCCCTTATACTCTGAGTCTAAATAGAGACACACCACATTTCAAGTGGTCATATCCGACCGTATTCTTATTGTCCTTCTCTGTCACCCATCAGATGCACGTCTTTCTCCTGGTATCCCAGACACCCCCAGCAGACTGGTGTTTTCTGCTCTGGGACCAACTGCCCTCAAAGTCAGCTGGCAGGAGCCCCATTGTGAGAAAGACATCCTGGGCTACTGTGTCTTCTATCAGCTGCTCAACGGAGGTAAATCAACCCTGGGACCAAAGACCATTTACGGCATCAGCACTTGTATTTGATTTAACCTCTTGTGTAATAATGAGACTACATTTGTTATATTATGATACAAAAAAAGCATTTGACAGAAATCAACTTGAGACACAAAATTAAGAAAAGAATTTTATAACCAATGGATCTACTGGATTTTAGCATATGGACGCAGTTGATCGAGGTGTTCTTTTTTCTGCACTTGTCTTGCTTTTTTGTGCACTTTTGCAGTTGTCAGTAAAAAAAACAGGAACTTAATAGGAAGAAATATATTCTTTACTGCATGGAATGTATTGATTTTGCTGTAATAGCTACTTGTTTTTAAATATTTCTTGCAGATTCTAAACACCTTATGTCCTCTCGTCTAGGTGAAGTGAAACGCATCAATGTGACGAACCCAGCAGAGAACTCTGTGATCATCCAGGACCTGCTGCCCAACCACTCCTATCTGTTTAAGGTGAAGGCTCAAAGCCAGGAGGGCTGGGGTCCAGAGAGAGAGGGAGTCATCACCATTGAGTCTGCCGTTGACCCCAAGAGTCCCCTCAGCCCCATGCCGGGTACTGACTCCACTGATTTTAGTGTCACCACTTCTTGGCTGAATCTGCACAAACAATGAATGTGTCTTTATGCAGTCGCTAAAAGTACAAGATCTTTAACTTTCTCTTTCACTGCAGGCTCGCCATTTACACTGAGCACTCCCAGTGCCCCGGGTCCCCTCATCTTCACTGCTCTGAGCCCTGATTCTCTGCAGCTCAGCTGGGAGAAACCTCGCAAACCCAATGGAGACATCTTGGGCTATGTAGTCACCTGCGAACAGCTGCATGGTGGAGGTGAACTGCCATACAGTATTGTGCTTTGTAGTTATGTTATGAAAGTGTGTGCATTTTTTTTTTTACCTGTGTTTCTCATTGTCTCCAGGAGATGTACGTTCCTTCCAGGTGAACGGTGACAGTGCTGAGACCAGTCTGACTGTCCCAAACCTGACTGAGAACATTCCCTACAAGTTTAAAGTTCAGGCTCGAACCACACTGGGCTTTGGTCCAGAGAGGGAGGGCATCATCACCATCGAGTCCCAGGATGGAAGTAAGATCACTTCTTCTAAAGCATTTGACATGAATGAAACAAATAGTTTCCAGTAGCAGCTGTTAGAGACTGACATGCAGTATGACACTGGTCCTGGAACAAAACCATGCTACTGATTTTGCCATTCTTAAGCCCTTATATGTCACAGGACTGAAGTTGCATACTTTGTCCTGAGGGTGGCATTAGAGGTCAAAGGGTCCTAAAACACAGTGGTTTATCCCTTTAGGAACATAAATGTAAATGGCAATCTGCCGATTAGACTATGGGATATTAATCTGTACAGTGTTGGCACTTTGGCGTGAATGGATATGAAAGCAAAGCTTACGGTGTCCTGGAGGTGGAGCATCTTCATCCTCAGGAGTGTGAATCAGATCCGTACAGTTCAAAGCAAGTGGAAATTTTGACCTGACTTTGGCAGTGGAGAAAACATAATGGTTCATCTTCTGAGTGTCATGAATACAGCAGGTTTATGGAAATTAGGCCTTTCAATGTTTAAATACCTGACAGTTTGGGCTGATGATACTGAAAGGTCAAGACTCATCTTCTGGTGACCATAAATTTCAGTGGCAAATTAGTTCACTTTTTTTGGTGACTACTTTGAGATCCCATCAGTCAAGGAGAAATTTTTTGACAAGATCATGTTACCATGAAAGGTCATTAGGTCACCAAAACCATCAGAAGTAATTCTTTGTGGACCATAAGTATCCATACAAACATTCATGGCAGTTTGACCGGTAATGTTTTGCTCTGCATCAAAGAGGCTGACATGATCATCCTATGGATTAAAATACAGTCACCATTAAACTACAGTATGTTCAGGATTGTTCAATATTCAATTTAGCATTCCTATCACTTTCTCAGTGTCTTCAATTTTAGCATGTGACAGTATACTAAGATGTGCATTTCTTTCCTTCTTCACCCTCTGTAGGTGCTTTGTCTCAGTACAACAACCAGTCGATGACAAGAAGAGAAGTATTCCACTTGCCAACAGAAGTCACCACACGAACCAACGTCTCACACACTATGCTCAACGACCCCTTCTTCTCAGGTACAAACTACGGTTCCAGTTTCACTGATGTCCTGCTATAAATAAGATATGCTCCCAGTAACACATGCTGCTTTCTCACTAACAGACGGGATGATGATGACCACACAGCACACAGAGAGCGGTGGCGTGATGACCCGTCACATCACCAAGGAAGTGGTTCAGAGGAGTGTCACCGGAGGAACAACCGTCACGAAGAAGATGCTTTATGAATCTTAAGATCTTATTTAACTGGACCCCAAATCAACACCCAAAGGTTAAACATGCCGAGGAATCATATCTGAGATTCTCTTTTAAAAAGAGTCCGCTTCAGAGTCCTCACACACGATCAGTGGATGTTTTTATATGTGTGTGTGCGATTCTGCAACCAAAAAAGATTTTATGAAAGAAATACCTGGAGAGGAGGCCGTTCTCTCATGTCTGTTACAAACTGTGGCCACTTTTTTCCATAGTTGAGGTTCATTTTAACAGTACCATAATTTTCACTGTTGCTTTTTGATATATTTCTTTCCAGTTTCTCTACAGTAAGGAAATAATTTAGTTGAAGGTTGCACTCCCTCTGTCAGTTCAGCTCTGGTAACAACACACTGGGGCTTTAAATGAGGCCAGCACTGGCCAGTAATCTGACTGTGGTTCAGTAATCCAAAGTGGCCTCTCCCCTCCATCACCTGTCCCCAGACCTTCCTGTAAGAGATGATCCGTCTGCATGTGATGTGTTTTGAAACCTGCCAAATTACAATCCTGACTGAAATGTCAGTCTTTCTGAGATGCACCTGTTTGCAAGACACTCTCTAGAAACTGGTGTAGATTCTCGCTACAGTTAGGTTCATTTTCTTCCAAGTGGTCCTATCCAGAGCGATTGAGAGTCAGATTGGTGGAACGTGTGTTCACAGATGTGTATTATATGAAAGTGTGATATTTTATCCATATTTAATACTTTTTAAGATTTTCACTTACACAGACATTTCTGCAAACAGAGGTTTGTGCTTGTGTTACTCATTTATAAGCCCATTTCCTACTGACAAGCAATAGGTATGATCTCAAATCTCTTTTAGATGTAACTTGGTTTTGCTTTTCATAAGAGACTTTATACTCAAAAATGTGGTATACACTGCTTCAAGATGATACATTTGATGTTTTTGTAACTCTGCAAGGCCATTGTATTTAGCATTTTGGATAGATTAACATCTCTGTATCCGGACTATGATGTTATACAGTGTGTAAAGACAGAAAGATTGTATTTGCTTAAATGCAAGTCCTGCTATATTTTGGCTTCAGAGTTTGATGAGAAACAGCTTTCATAAAATGGCATTTTTATCAGGAAATACAGTTAAGTGCATCAGCTTTTACAAAACAAACTCAGTAAAGTATTCATGTCATGTATTGCTTACTTTTAAGCACTTACCTTTTGTATTTTTAAGTCAGTTTTATTGCACTTAATAAAGGTTTGAAATGAAAAGATTTCCATTATATACATAAGTGAATGAATTAATGTCTGAATCATGCGTGATCACTGAAGACGAAAAGGAGCATTTACTGATCATTTTTTATATTTGAGAGAAAAGGGTCGTCTTTATATTACACGCAGAAACAAAACCACAGCTGCCCATGCTGGACAAATGTTTGCAGGAAGCTTGAGACAAAAAAAAGAAAACGCAATTAACTCTTCACGTGTCAACCCAGTCTGTAATTATCTGCCTTCCAGTGTTAAAAAGCTCTCATTAGCTGCACTGAGGCTCTAAGTAGCTGGTCACACATCCTTTCCACGGTGCGGTGCCTTTACAGTTTGGAAGTTAGTCTGCAAGTACTTCTTCATCTCTAAGAAATGTTTTTTCTTGTCCATATGACTGTAGTGACATGACAATGACATGACTGGTGTTTTTCATCTTTACACTCTAAATTATTTGACTTCTAATCCTCTGTCAAACTTTACTGGAGAGTGAAAAAATCATTTTCACTCAGCTAAAAACAAGGCGGTTCTGAGGTTTTTGTCCTGACACCATTAAAATATTCATCTTAACACAAATAGTTGCATGTTTCTATGAAGGCAGAGTAACAGAAAGTATAGTTCACAATGATGACAGCTCACATCCCTGATCTCACAAGGCAACCTGCAGAAAGAGTCAGACTTTTAGTCCAGAGCCAGCACACAGGATTCAAATTCACTAAATAATGGGCCAGAATGAGTCTGTGAGCTGCTGAGGATCAGGATTGAACAGTAAAGTGCATTTAGCAGGTCAGTTCCAGCGGCAGGGCCCAGGGCAGAGGCATGGCTGTCTGACAGCCACAGGCCTGATCACGAGCTCTTTGACAACTTCTGTTGTCCCAAACACGGGGTACAGTTCCTCACTGAACTTCTGGTTGTAGGTGTACAGGTGAGAGCGCTTCTCTGCATCATAGAAGGACAGCTGGCCCTGCTCATAGTCCAGGTACACCCCAACTTTCTTGGGCACCAAGCTCTGGGGCAGCGGGGTGGAAGGCACGGTCAGAGCTTTCAGATCTGTGCCCCTCTCCAGACGCAGGGTCAGGTGGCCTGTATCTGTGTTGAGCGAGCGGAAGCCCTGCCTCACTGCAGATGCTTTAGTCACGCCCAGCCGCCAGTCCTGCTTGCCCACCTCCACCTCCCAATAGTGGCGTCCAGAGGTGAAGCCCTTCTTGCCTACAGCACACCACCAGCCATCAAAGCGTCGCTGGCATTGCGGGAGGTCACGGCGCTCCAGGCCACACCGCATGCGCTTTTCATCACTGGAGATGAGCAGGTCTGGGTTGGCTGAGTAGGAGTCCAGAGTGACGTCCTCTGTGGTGGTGCAGGACAGAAAGATTACAAATTATAAAGTCAGATATCAAAGTATGAGGAGGAAAAGAGGTGATTCTCCTTTAGATCATTTTATTGTGAAAGACTTTCCTACCTGCTGCATCGCAAATCCAGTTCCATACTGTAGAGAAAAAGCAGAGGCACTCTTTCAACATATTTACATTAACAACAGATCAAGTGACCATATGAAATGTGAAGGGAGGTCACCTGCAATGAATTACAGTTCCCTTCAGCTCCACTGAGGTTTTAGCACCTTACAGCAGCTATTCTTAGCAAAATAAAAAAAAAGGTTCTGATAAACTCAGTGAACGCCACCTGCCCAGGACCCATCTGCAAACAGTTAGCGACTAGCTAGTGAACAGTTGGTGCATTTAGCAGCTAAAGAGCCCGGTATTTCCCCCGAGGAGTTGGTGGAGGCTAAAACAGAGCCTCAGAGTGAAAATGAGAGGGTGAACATTAAAATGATTACCAATAAGATTTGTTGTTTTGATGGATTTTAGTCAACAGGATGGCCTTTGTTTCTTCATCTATGAAACTCAGGAAATTATTGACGTGCATTTTAGGATAGTTTTGGTTTGGTTTGGTGTCTTCTCTCTCTCTCTCCCTGTACCTTTCTGCAGGTATCCCTGGCTTCAGAGCTGTACATTTTTAGAGGCCCAGCCCCTGGCCACATTAACCTGTGTGTGTCAGTTTTGTTCTTGTTGTGCTCCGATGCTCTTCTCTTCTCTCTCCTCCATCCACTCACCCCAACCGGTCGAGGCAGAAGGACGCCCACCAAGAGCCGGGGTCCGTCAGAAGTTTCTTCCATTAAAGTGCTTGCTCAAAGGGGTATTTGTTGGGTTTTTCCTTATAATAGTGATAATATAATAGTGATATAATAGACCTTATTATGTAAAGTGCCCTGAGACATTTGTTGTTTTTAATTGCCACTATATGAATGTAACTAAAATGAACTTAATTAATTAAGAGGACACAAACATGACTCCAAAAATGCTCCATGAAAAAGGTCAAAGCAGGTGTAAACACCAAAATTTTAGTGATTGCTCAGTCAACAGAGTCTTTTATCAAGCAATTACACCCAACACTGACACATTTCAGCTTCTGAAATGCAAAGATTTGCTGCTCTTCTTTTAAATCATATCAAATAAACTGAATATTTTGTGGTTTTGGTCCACTGGTTAGACAAAACAAGCAATCTGAAAACATGATGCAACTACTAACATATGGCTCTGTTACTGAGCTACATACACTGCTATTATAAATTCCAGTAAAAAGTCTGAATTCCATCTGAATTAACTGCAAAGTGCCACAGTAACCGATAACACCAGGCGTTTAAGTGACTGAGCACTTAACTAGTCATGCTATAATGAATCAGAAAAAGCATCAGACGTGAGCCAACACAAGTAAGAAAATCTAATGTGTTTAAAAAGGTTATGTTTATCATTATCAAGGTAACAATATAATGTGATGAATAGTAGATTGTAGCTCATATTGCCCAGTCCCACTTAACAGACTAATCAGTAATGCAGCCCTGCAATCAACATAGTCATTTAAAGTAATTCATGTCAACAATATTTAGGATTTCCACTCACCACAGTGGGGGATGTAGCGGACAGCGTCTGAAAGAAGGGGTTTGGTTATTTACCGCAATCAGTTTCATTCCTCACCCAAATGCTTCTGCATGGTCCTGTCTCTATTTTTCTTTCTTATCCTTTAAATACATTTACACTGATTAGTTCCATTACAGATGGCTAGGTACAGATGGCTTTTCAGCATCTTGAACGCTAACTATACGACTTTATTATTTGAGTTTTTTAAGTCGTGGTTTTATTGATGGCTCCTCATATGAAACACTTTCCACAATGAAAAAGAGACATGTCTGTCAAAGCTGCACTCACCACTCCTCTGGCTCCTCTGCTTTCTCACCAGCCACTGCTTAGTCACATCCTCCTACACATGCACAGGCAGATGATGGAAACATAAAGACAAACAGGCTGAACAATGAGATTAGAATGACTGAATGTTGTGTAGCATATACTGTATACTGTACACTGTGCTTCACAGTCTTTACACCACTGTACATCTGTCATGTTTTCATTCTTTCTAGCATTCTAACTAAAGACATCCAGACCTTTACAGGGCTGTCGGCATTAAGCATGGCCAGCATGACAAGCTCCATGGCTGGGAGCAGGTTGGGCAGACAGCCCCTCTTCCACTGGAACTCCAGGTCATCCAGCATCATGAGCACTGGCTCACCTGGCCAGACAGGGGGCTGGAAAGATGATGTTAAAGAGGGAATTATTCAGGAAGTGGCATTCACTTAAATCAGCCACAAATAGAGGGACTTTCTGGTCGCACCTCCAGGATATTACACGTATGATGAGATGACTGGCAATGGCAGGGCTTAGCCAAATCATCTTTATCAGATACAAGGAAGGAACTGAGTCAGGCTTTAATCACCCACCAACTGCAGGAACAAAATTCTACCAGACATTATCCTCAATGCCGGGCATTGTGTAATCACCTGAGGTCTACTTTTAATCGCCCATGTCCAATCCATGATGACCCTTTTGTGGGGTCCCATGTCATACTCCCCTCTGGCCTCCGGCATGCAGACGAGGTGACCCTTCCAGTCTTTTTTCCCTGGCTTCTCATACTGGCAGTCGGACAGGATGATCCTTGACTGAATATGAAACAGAAACATTCAAGCATGTGCAGGCTATTTAGAAAAGTTGCTAGAAACAGTTTATGGCACCTGTTACAAACCTGCATTCTCTTGTCTAACACTGCCGCCCATTCCATGATAAAATCACAACACACACTGGCTGGCCAGATGTCCTCGCTGGTCCAGATGTGACTGAGGATGTTTGACCTCTGGGGGTAAAAGAAGATACAAATGAGAGTCTGTGATTTTGTGACACAGCAAGAAATGAGAGGACAGGAGATGAACTTGCCTGACAAATTTTGTTGAGTTCTCGAGCTAATTCCATAATAAATAACTGATTTTCCACCAGCAGCTCCTTCTTCTCAAGTCTCACTCGCTTATGAGACTCCTGGAGCAAAACACACAGTAGACGTAAAGGAACAAAATAACGACTGGGATCACAGAGGGGTGTGGAAATTTAACATTAGCAGCAAATACAATACCCGTGCCTTGAGCCGGATTTTGAGCTTTTTGGCTGGCTTGATAAGGAACTGCAGGCAGTCCTTCATCATGCTGGCAGCTGGAGAGCGAGGCCCTGTGGTACAATAATAAAAAGCTTTAGTACATTCACCTCTGTCAAGTGCTAAAGCGGAACTGCAGCTGACTGGGCTCCAGTCGCCCACGTAAATTGATGAGAGAGCAGAAATCAGTTGTTTATGAGAGCTGGCAAAAAGGCATTGTAGGTATGTGTTTAGACAGAGGAGCACTGCAGAATTTTCATCACACTGGAAGCCTGTGGAGAGGCATAATTAGGCCCTCTGAGCTATCATTTGCTGAGGAGGAGAGAAAATAAGACCCACAGGGATAGCAGTGTAAAAAGAGACTGTCCACCCACTTCACACACACAAAACCACAAAGTGAGCGATAAACAGAGAAACAATGTAGAAACAAAAGAAAAAAATTGCACAGTAATAGGATTTCCTGATGTGTGTGGGTCGATGTGCTCCGATCACAGCTTTGAAATTGGAAATTTATTCCCAGGGAGATCTGAGGCAGCAGTGTGGAGCTGTGGAGGGAGGGGGGATTGTTGGACCAGTTTGCTGTTGATTCAGCAGTTCAACCCTGCACGACACTTTGATGCGCAGCGGAGATGAGTGGCTCTTTCAGTGATGTAGGGGTGGTTGCTGCAGCCAACAGATGCTGGTCTTGAGTTCTCAAGGACTGAAGAGCATACATGGTGCTGGGGGGGCTGAGGATTTTAGCCAAAATAAAACCTACATCAAACTAAACATCTGAAAATTTACATTTCAGTGAGTAATAGCAGCAATACACATTCAATGTCTGAATATGTCTCAGAGAAAGTAAGGGGGAAATACACTCCTGCACGGTCTGTCTGTCAAACTGTGAGGAGCTGTATCTACACATTCACTCCTGGTTAGACAGAGGGTCTATTTTTGGCAGTGGAGGCAGAATGTGTAGGTGCCCGTGTGTGGTAGAGAGGAGCTGGAACATTAGAAGAAATCCAGGATTAGCACCTTCGCCACTGCTGTACAAACCCAGGTAGTGGCCTTGTATATTAGGAGCGACAGACCAACCTGTGCCTCTAAGTCAGCATCAAGACAAACAGACCATAATACACCAGTGTTGTTATTCCTTTCACAAAATGCATCTTTTTGAAATATTAATGCTACACTGTGAATAAAGATGAACACACAAACTGCCCCCGTGCGCATGAATGCAAAGATCGACTGCAGTTGCTATCAGGCAGACTAATTAATTTATTTAATTACGCCCTAGGCACAGTTTAGTATTATAGCCATTAGAAGGACGTTTTGTTAAAGAAGGAAAGTTTCACCTTGTTTTGGGAGTAGTTTCCTTTCGGTAGTCAACTTTCCGCTGCTCTTCTGGGATGCTCCAGCTAAATCGATGTAGTGATCCTCCGCCACCCTTCATCCACACCACAACTGTGGCACGGGAGGCACGGTGCGCTCTTATCCCTCTCCTCTGCGCAGCCGCAGTTTGACCAAAGACCCGCCAGGGGGCGCCATATCGTTACGGAACCTGAGAATTCCAGCCGCTCAGCCTTCGTTTGTCTCGCATATGGACACTGAGGAACGGGCAGGTGTTTCGCTATGTGAGGTACAAGGAAGTGCTCCGGTGACTGGAGGCTAGGGCTCTGTGCGTCGTCAGCTGGTCGCTGCTCTTCCCTCGACATGGCACCTAAAGACCCTCTGCTCGGAACTCTGAGAGGTGAGGATCAGTAGCTGATGCATATTAACGTGGATACTGGGTTATCGTTTCCGTTTAGACAGCCGATAGCACCGTTCAGTCTTACACCTCTTATGATTCTACCCAGAGCATTTCTGTTTCATTTCTGTTGTGCGCGCCCAGAAAAGCATTGCGCACCACCTGCCACACTGTTTCTACTCTGTGCTGCCTCTTCTCTTATAGTGCTGATGTTAAATGGCGATGATCACCCGGGCTGCATCAAGAACTGTTGTCTTTCTGACCACTATGATCCACTGTCGATTACTTGTTATTCCCCCCCAGTGTGTGTGCTGAACCTGCAGTCAGATGTAGAGATGGTGTCCGACACCAACCCTCACCTCGCCTCCTGCTGTGAGCTTATCGAGCTGATCCTCAGGAAGGGGCTCCGACGTCAGTACCCCATTAATAAATGCATAAGAAATGCATATTCTTGCTAACAACAGATTGCTCTATGGAAAGCTTATATATCTGACAATTATACCTGCATAATTTGGAATGTCAGTTTAAGCTTCATGTGGTTGTATAAGACTGTTGAGCAGACTGGAAATGAGTAGATTGGACTGAGAATGTGTCTGCTTTCTCTCAAGAGCCAGCTCTCAGTCTGGTACACAGAGACTACTGGCAGTGTTTTGAACAGCTTCCCCACCAAGATCACTGTGGAAGGTAGTGTACCATGAAGGCTGTTTTTAACATTGATCTAATGACAGTATGTCAAGCTTTTAATGCCTGTTGTCTCTGCTAATGTGTGTGTATAGGCTGACTGCTCTGTCCTTGGCAGTGGAGCAGACCAAAGTTTGCAGGAAGCTGCTCTCTGCGCAGGGCCGAGGTCGCTACCTGCTCAGATTGGCCCTCAGCCGCAAGGCTCTGGCACAGTTCGTTACACACCTGCTGCACACACCCAGAGTCCTGGAGGTCAGATACATGAACCAGATAACAGATGGGTGACAGGTGAAAGGAAAAACTGGAATAAATGAGTGTTCTCCTCCAGAATGACAGTGCCTCCATCCACAGGGTATGAGGGGTCACTGAATGGTTTGATGAGTATGAAAATGAAGTGAATCTTTTGCTGTGGCTTCCACAGTTACCTGATCTCAACCCAGGTGAACACCTATGGGAGATATTAGAGCGGCGTGTTAGACAGCATCTCCACCATCATCACCAAAACACCAAATAAAGACTATCTTTTGGAAGAATGGTGGTCTTCCCTCCAGTAGAGTCCAGAGACTTGGAGAACAAATGCACTGAAGCTGTTCTGGTGGCATATGGTGTCCTATCATCTTACTGAGACACTTTATGTTGGGTTTTCCTTTCATTTGTCACCCATCTGTACATTTCATATACTGCAAAAGGTTGATGCCTTTTTCTAGTGCTGCCCATGTCACTGTGAGGCACTCTGGAGAAAGTGTCTATCTACCAAATATGACCTTTGAAATTGAAGTAAACTAGTCTCTAGACTAAAATAGGTGCACGTCATGCTGTCTCTCTCCACTCCAGTGGTACAGCCCAGTGTTATCAGTTCTCAGGAATGAAGAATTTGTAGGTGAGATGTTTTACTTGTTCTGACTGCTTTCACTAAATACAATGGCTTTAAAAAGCTGTGAAAATTCTCATCACCACTAACATCAACAACAGTCTCTAAGGGGCACACTTCTCCTCTTCCAGAGCCTTTCATGTCTCTGCTGCTGGTCCTTTCTCACATGGAGTTTAAACTGGATATGGAGGTCAGAGCAACCCCTTGTTTATGCCAAGAACAAGTGCAAATGTGAGATTATGTGTTTTCAAAATTTCCAAACCACAGCATTATCATCCAGAATATATCCTTCATTGCATCAATGCCAGTGAAATCACTTTGAAACCCTTTCCATTTCTGAAAGCAAGTGTTTTTTCAAATCACTTGAAAATCAAATGACTCTACATTAATAACCACCTCTGGTCTCTTAAGACAGAATTGTAGTTTTCTGGATGAGAGCTGGCTCCTCCCAGTAAGTAACAAAGACCACTGTTAGACTAGTGTTTAGTGAAATGAGATCACCTGGACTGCTGACTTTTCTTGATTTTTTTGTATATGTTTTTAGGTGTGTGAAATATATGAAGTAGTGCCCTGTCGTGAACTCGGGATGGTGCTGAGGTTTGCATATTTTTCACTCTAAAAGTGTTCATTCTGCTGAACGTGTCTAATAACTAGATCTGTCCAACCTGCTGCATCATTTCTCTCTGTCTCCATCTCACAGTTATATCAGTGGGCGTGTCTTGGTGCTCAACCTAATACCTGGTAGTCAGGCTCATGTTGACAAGTTTGTCTGTCCTGGTGACGTTATTGATGAGATCAATGGGACTTCACTGAGGAATTCCAAGTGCGGGCAGGTATGAAAATCAAATGTGCGGTGCCATACAGTACATTAAGCTAACAGCCAGTGGCATTTTTATAGACGTCATCTGTCACTCTGTGTCAGTACAGTGCTGGGTTATAATAACAGCTTTACATTTGCTCTTTTAAAGACTGTTTTGAGAAAATTCCTAATTATATGGACATCTCATATTAGAGCCAGAGCAGAACATACAGGAAACTGCGTGTGGTGAACTGAGTGTTGAATTAAACTAATGAGACTCTACAGTAATTGTCATTTATGTTGCATGATTAGACCTCCTGTTAAAACCATGTTGGTGTGAAAAGACTGTGCTTGATGGATGTCTCCCTGATTCTCCTGTTAGCATTGTGGCATCAGTTAGCGTGGGAAAACATTCACTTGATCAGTGTTATTAATACAGGGAGTTTGGTGATATTATGCAATTCCCAGCATAGTTGCACCCAACCTGAGCAGAGCTCTACTCAGCCAGACAGCCTGGCTGATAATAACCTTGTTATTATGCTTATTTTTCTTACCGTTGTTATTATTGTTAACATGGTGAACATGACCTCATTTGAGGGCACAGTAATGCCAAAACCTAATTTAAAACGTGCAACATAGTGAGGAATTTAGAATTTTATAAAATGAACTGAAACACACAAAAATGAACATTGAAATTAAATTGCTTGTTATATTTTTGCATATATATTCTGAAACATCCAGTGTGTATGCCTGTTTGTCTTGAGTAAGAGCCACTGCAGCCCTGTTACTACAGTAGTCTCTACACAAGATGAAGATTTTCCAGTGAGCGGTGCACATAAGCCGAAATTCTGTGTATATTGTGCTTTTGATTGAACCTTAGACATTGACCGGTCACACCCTTGACAAACCCTATAACTGTTTGCATAATTAATAACACATGCCACTCCAAACTGTGTTTACATTTGCTGACATCCTTTGGTGGAAGGCGTTATACAGTACATGATGCAACAGTGTATTGCGTCTGTTTTCCCAGGCTGGTGCGACTTTATCTCGGCTGAGGGGCTGTCCTCTGTCCATCTGCGTTCTGCGATGGAGGGCCCATGATGGAACAGTGTATCGGCCCCTTATCAAACTCCTGCGAGTTCTGAGGATGGAAAACCCCACGCTACAGCTTGGTCCTGCTCCCACCCAGCAGTTGGCCACCACAGAGCAGGGGCCTTCTCCGTCACATTGTCTCAAAGAGGGAAGGCAAGTTTAAATCCTTAAAGATAACTTTTTCCACATCAAGACAATAACTCGTCTCTCCTCAACAGGAGTGTGTACATTGTGCAGTTCTTGGGAAAAGCAAACATTGGAATGGTAAATAATCACTAGTGTTTACAAGTTAATATACTGTATGTTCTTTAATTGTATATACACATGTGCTCATGTCCCTGGTCAGTGGTGTGATATCTGGTCTGGCTCTTATAGTTTGGAAACAAGGAGGTGCTGCAGCACGCAATTCCACACGTGTTGCAGAAAAACCTTCCTAGCAAGGTAACGACACCGCTCCCTGCCTGGAGGCAGATGTTTTAACAAGAAACACCAAAATGTGCCTAATAGGTGTTATTTGTCCCCACAGGAAGTACTCTTAGATATGAAGGAAACACATTTGACATGCACAGATAGACCCAGCCAAGTGGTAAGTAGACACTTGTGGTGGCGGCTGAAGCAACAGCTGTCTTGTTTCTTTGGCTGCAGTCCACTCTCCTGGAATAACATGCTGACTGTCCTGTTTTCTCAGGAGCTGTTTGAACATCACTATCCAGAAATCTCATGTGTAGGGAGATATGATCAACAAGACTACACAATATTTGCATTTTGTGTGACGTAAGTTTCAAATGTACTTACAATCCTTGCATGCAAATGAGGGTCACTGATTTCACATTAGTGGCCTAGAAAACAAAGCTGTTCATTGCCCATCACATCTTTTAATACAAACCTGCTGTGGTTTGGCTCGCATCCCTTAGTAGCAGCTTGGCGATGCAATACAAGCCTAGTACAGGTCCTGCCATCGCTAGACCTAAGCCTGCAATTGGCTGTGTTCACAGAGACTCCCCAGAAACCCCTCAGCCAACAGGATTCTGCTGTGTGGTACTTAGAGCCAGCACAATCAAGGAGTGCGAGGACAATCAGCCGCATCGGTGAGACATGCACTTATGAGCCAATTATGAGGAGAATCAGTCCTATATCTAAGATGTTTTTTTTTTTCCCCCACCCCCTTTACAGCTACTGGCTTCAAGCATACAGAGTGGTTTGTATGACCTGGCAACTGTTGTGTTGTAAATGTCTATCAAGCTCATGTCTACCCAACTAAACTACAACACAAGGCTTTCCATTCGTAGAGCTTTAATAGAAAGACAGGACAGTTTCATAAATAGCATTAAATGTAGCTGCCAAGATTTTGTTGAAAAAACATGTAAAAAGCAGTCCAGAAAAATATAGCAGGGCTGGAAAGCTCCTTGTCACTTTGTGCAGAGTATCAACTCTGGTAGCCAACACCCTGTCACTGCAGTGAAACCTGTTGAGCAAGACATGCTGGTATTTTGTAAATAAATGGATGAAGGAACCCTGGAGCCTATGGAAGATGTATTCATTCATCCTCAGTTCAAAGACAGCTTCAGAGGGAGCCTTACACCCACACACCTTGAGGGTTGGTATAATAGAGGCAACATGTAGTAATGACCCATGATGTAGTAGGTAGATATCCCCACTGCACTACATTTCCAACTACCTAGAGTGACTGCAGGCATGCGGAATGGTTGATTCATAATCTCAATCTAAAATACAATACAAAGTTAAAAAAAACTTGTAAAAAGCCAAGTAATAAGTGTCCACAAAAATGGTTAAGTATGATAAATGGGATCATGTGTCGACAATACTGCCGCTAGCTGCTTAGGCTCTCTCTCCCCTTATCCTGCGAGCCAGCTGGATGTCTTTGGGCATGACGGTGACACGTTTGGCGTGGGTGGCGCACAGCTTGGTGTCCTCAAACAGACCCACCAAGTAAGCCTCACTGGCCTCCTGGGAAAGGGAAAACAGACAGATTAGGTTTAAAACTACTGTTGCCCTATTAAAACTAGGGTAGTGTCATTTCCTCACATTTACCATAAGAGCCTCACTGGCCTCCTGGGAAAGGGAAACAGACAGATTAGGTTTAAAACTACAGTTGCCCTATTAAAACTAGGGTAGTTTCATTTCCTCACATTTACCTGAAGCGCTCCAATAGCAGCACTTTGGAAGCGCAGATCAGTCTTGAAATCCTGAGCAATTTCTCTCACCAGGCGCTGGAAGGGTAGCTTACGGATGAGCAGCTCGGTGGACTTCTGATAACGACGGATCTCCCTCAGAGCCACAGTTCCAGGCCTACAAATGAGAACATTTTAGCACAGTATTTAAAGGGGACAGGTTTCCTGATGCGTCCCTCCCTTAATTTTGGGATTACGAGTTACCTGTAACGATGGGGCTTCTTCACTCCCCCGGTGGATGGTGCGCTCTTCCTAGCTGCCTTGGTAGCCAACTGCTTCCTCGGCGCTTTTCCTCCAGTAGATTTACGGGCGGTCTGCTTTGTACGGGCCATCTCGTACTTACTAAAAAATTGAAGAACCGACGTTAAAAACGGTATGAACGTCAAGTTTCCATCCCAAATTTAATAAAACAAAACCTATGCTGCCCTACAAGCAATCGCAATAGCCTAGCATACGTATTAATACATGCGCCCCCCCGTTGCGTCAGTAAGCGCAAACTCCATACTCTTCAGCAAAGCCTAAAATGAAAGGCCGCAATCAAAGATAATCATCAACACACGTTTGATACCATGGATTAATAGCGCCGTTACTGACAAGAGTGGATCCAACGACTTATCGTTAAATACCAAGAACCACTGCAATTAGAGGCTCTTGTTTCAAAACACTCGGTGTCCTCAACAGTCCAGCGAGTCCGCCTTTGATTTTCTATTTCGCCATTTTCCGCTTCACATTTTACAGCCCGACGACACTGCCTCGGACTCAGCTCAACCAACACTGGCTTCCATGTAATTAACTTAGCTAAAGGTTGTCGTCATACAACAGAAAAAGGCGTAGATAGTTCATTCTTGGGCCTGTTTACGAGATCGGGTTTCACTTTAGCGAACTAACCATTACGTTTACGGTGAAACCTAAACTGTAAGAGAGTCCATTGTTCTACTTTTAGCTAATGCTAATGTTAGCAAGTTGACGTTGTTAGCCTGTTTCCCCAAACACTGCCTGTATAAAGAAACGCAATCCCCGAATTCATATCACTGTGATGAAAATCAATTCAGTCAACACACTGTCTTCAAAGTAAGATAATCATATTTACCTTTACGATACTAGTAGATGTGTAGTAATCGCCGCAACTCAAAATAAGCCAATAGCTACCACTAAGTGCTAAAGCACTATATGTTGGGAGGAAGGGTTGAGGCCGCTTATTAATACTTTTTGTGACGTCATGCTTGTAAAATACTTTACGCTCATTGGTTCATATTCTAAAGCGGACATAAGTTACAGCCAATAAGATACAGCAAATAAAAAAAGTGAACTCAACTGATCATTATTTCCAACTATTTCAGTTTTCTATAAATCATAGTTCTACAAAGCGCTATCGTACTGTATGAACTAATTTTATAAGTGTGTCTTGATTTGCACAATCATTAGTTATGTTATAATTGAACTTCATGTCCCATAGTTCCGTGTTGTCTAGTTGACTACTACTTCCTGCTGCCTTGCGCAAGCTCAAATCGTTGTAGAATGCGGATTTCGAAGCTATTAAGAATAGCTAGCCAGTAAGCTAAAAACAAAGTTCTTGTTGTTAGGATTTAGACGGGGAAATGTCTAAAACACATTCACAGCCTCCGTCATCTTCGGCAGCGACGGTTACCGGGGGGCCCTCCTCGTCCTCCTCGTCTTCGCCCGCAGGGGGCTCGACATCTCCCGCAACCGTGTTGAACGTACAGCCAGAGAAACCTCAACATTACACGTACGTAGCTAGTTAGCTGGATTACCTAGCTAAGTGTACACAATCTCACGTGTATTCGCATATTCCAAAATACAACTAAATTGCAGTTGAAAAAAAAGAGTGAGTGATAAATTTGACATTGTTTGAAAGTACTGAACTATACCCGTTCAGCGAAAGTGTGGGTATAAACAGGAGCAGTTCTCGATAAAAAGGCCTAACAACCTTACTAACAGTAGCAATTTCATGAAAGCTTTATGGCACAGCATAACAATTTTTGAATATGTACCATTAATACAAATACGTAATCTTAATTTGGGTAGATTATACATGAGCTTTTCACGGGAAGAGGTTAGTCACAGCAGCAGAGAATGTGCTCAGACAGGTAGGGAATACTGTGGAAATAAATATTATGAGAAATGATGAATGTACAGTATAAAAAATGAATGCGGAAGCGCAATAAATTTGTTGCAAAATACAGTAACACTGTCTAGAAATGTATTTCACTGTCTTGGTGCTTCCCTCTCTTCCAGATATCTGAAGGAGTTCAGAACTGAGCAGTGTCCCCTGTTTGTACAGCATAAATGCACACAGCACAGGCCCTTCTCCTGTTTCCACTGGCACTTTCTGAACCAGCGTCGCCGCAGGCCCATCCGCAGACGGGATGGGACATTCAACTACAGCCCAGATGTTTACTGTACCAAATATGATGAGGGGACAGGCACCTGCCCTGATGGAGATGAGTGAGTGCAACTGAGATTTTTGCTTTGTGCAAGACTGCTTCACATCATATTTGCACTGAATAGCATGGACCCCTCATTGAATCAGTGCATTTATCATGAAACACTGTCCCTCTGTAAAGGGGAAGTGTTACTGTTGCTTAGTTCCACTAATGGGAAGGCAATAGTGACTGTTTCACTTCTTGTGCTGGGTATTTTCTGTAAGTTTATTACAGCGGAAAGAATTAATTGGCATTTTCTTTAAAACCCCAATAGATGTCAGGGTTTTTTTGTGGTTTGCAGAAGCTATTTTAATTTAAATCTTGTCGGCATTCAAACCATCGTCCCTATCTCCTCTTAAGCTGTTGTAATCCTTTAACATTTAAAAATCCTGAATTGTTTGAGTGAACTGCCAGAATGTGCAGGACATCACATGACATAGGACTTTTTGCAGGTGGGTGCAAGTTAGTAATGTAGTAATTGAGGATACACCTTATCCACAATTGTAAGTTAGACTGACCACATTGGATAATCTTCACAGTGTGTATTAGCACATGAATATAGTCACACTCCCCACTCTGTGGGTGTCTTTTTTACTGAAATGTGCTGAGTTGTTGGGGCCTTTGTGTTAGCTCCTATGCAGCATGCATAGACAATGATTCAGGGTCAAACTGAAATGTGTTTGATTCACGCTAATGAACCTCTTTGTGATGCACAGAGGTGGTCTAGGTGCTATTTCAGATGGACATAACATATAAAAATATTGTAATATTTAGTAGTGTAGAATTTCAGCGGTCAAATCCTTTTATGTGATTTTGAATGTTGTGACTTGCAGCTCTCTCAAGTAAAACTAGCATATGAGTAGGATGGTATGATCCTATCCAATAATTTCCATCATAAAGGGTCTGTGTTAAGTGCAAGGTACTTTTATGCCTTATATCAACAGCAGTCGTAGCTCTACAGCTTGGTAGGATACACAGATGTCATACTATAAATTCCACATATTATTTTACCCATAAAATACAACAATTTTTATTGAAGTCATAGCAGCATTTATATATATATGCTTAATTGGAAAATTGATTAGTCAGTGGGCAGAAAATTAATTTTGATAACACAATAGCTGTTTAAGTCATGTAATTTACTGGTTTGAGCTGTTTAAATGTAATTGATGTTTTGGCTTTCTCTGTTTCATTTTAAATGGATTAGATTTAGGTTTTGGACTCTTGATCAAACAAAACAAGCAATTTTAAGATGTTCCCTTGAGCCCTGGGAAGTTGTGTGGTAACTTTGTTTTTTATACATTTTATGTACAAAACAGTTAATCATTAGCCCTAGTATACACACGTGCCCAAATAAAGCTGATTATCCTTATCCCTATATGATGTGCCTCAGAAGACCTGTCTGTGTTTGTTTCGGTGTTTTGAATGCAACATTTTCTCATGTTTCAGATGCCCATTTCTACATCGGACGGCAGGTGACACAGAGCGCAGATACCACCTCCGCTACTATAAAACAGGGTCATGTATCCATGAGACTGATGCAAAAGGCCACTGCAGCAAAAATGGCTCCCACTGTGCCTTTGCACATGGATCACACGACCTGCGTAGCCCTGTCTATGATATCAGGTGCCCAAAAGAACTTGACCTAAACAAATAGCCAACCATGGCTTCATATGAGTTTCTCAATGTGTACCGGTGCTCTAGTCATTTGCAGAGGCTTTTTACACTGTGAATCTTACAGAGAGGTGCAGGTGATGGAGTCTCAGGGAGGCTCAGGGCCCTCAGAGGGAGGTGGAGGGGACGGGCAGTCAGGACAGGCAGCAAGCACTGCCCTCATAGAGAAGATCCTGAGTGAGGAACCACGCTGGCAAGGTAAGTAAATTGGCAATGATGAGAATCCCACGTGTCCAGCTGGAATGGTAATTCTCATCATCTCTCATAACCTCTCTCCTGCTGGTTTGTTTGATCTTCAATCATTTTATTGTTAGATATCTTGGATTTGAACCATCCCTCACCACCTATCCGCCTCATTAGCCCTTTCTGTATCTGCTCTAACTCTTCAGATAACAACTATGTACTATCCCACTACAAGACAGAGCTCTGTAAGAAACCACCTCGTCTGTGCCGTCAAGGTTATGCTTGTCCTTATTACCACAACAGCAAAGACAGGAGGCGCAGCCCGCACAAGCACAAATACAGGTGTTCTATTTACATCATGTAAAAAGAAGAGATGTATTGTTTTCTCTGTTCTCTGTGGTTGTGTCTGATAGAACTGTTATTTGTTCCTGCTGCCACAGAGCATTGCCATGTCCAGCTGTTAAACAGAGTGAGGAATGGGGAGATCCCAGTAAATGTGAGGGAGCAGAGGGATGTCAGTATTGTCACACAAGAACAGAACAACAGTTCCACCCAGAGGTTTGTCTGCTTCAGGAGACATCTTATAGAATTTAGACCAGAAACCACAGGAAGCTGAATGTGTTTATTTGGTTCCAGATCTATAAATCCACAAAGTGTAATGACATGCAGCAGTGTGGCAGCTGTCCTAGAGGGCCCTTCTGTGCCTTCGCTCATGTTGAAAGTAAGTCCCACAATACACCTTGAAGCACTGCTCAGCAATCTCAGCAACTACAGTGGCAAGAAAAAGTATGTGAACCTTTTGGAATTTCAGCAATAACCAGGCAGCAATAACCAGGGGCTTCCTGTAGCTGTGGATCAGACCTGCACAACGTTCAGGAGGAATTTTAGCCCATTGTTCCTGCAGAACTGCTTTAGCTCCGTCATATTCTTTGGACATCTCCCCTGTATGGCTCTCTTCAAGTCATTCCATAGCATCTCTACTGGCCTGAGGTCTGGGCTCTGACTTGGCCTCTCCAGAAGGTAGTTTTTGTTTTTCTGAAGCCATTCTGTTGTGGACTTGCTCCAGTGTTTTGGGTCATTGTCCTGTTGCATCACCCAGCTTCTTTCAGCTGACGTACAGACATTCTCACATTATCCTGAAGAATGTTTTGATACACTTGGGAATTCATCTTCCCCTCAGTGATTACAAGCTGGCCAGGCCCTGATGCAGCAAAACATTTTGCCAATACCGCTGTGGAGTGTCAATGTGCTCTTTCCCAAACTTCAGGCATGCAGCAATGTTCTTTTTAGTAAGCAGCGGCTTCCTTCATGGTGTCCTGCCATAGACACCCTGCTTGTTCAGTGTTTTACGTACTGTAGACTCATGAACATAGATGTTATCCAGGTCCAATGATGCCTTCAAATCTTTGGCTGTCACTTGAGGTTCTTTCTTTACCTCATTGATGAGTCTTCGTTGTGCTCTTGGGGTCATTTTGACTGGGCGCCCACTTCTTGGTAGAGTAGCCACAGTCCCAAAGGGTCTCCATTTGTACATTGTTTGCCTAACTGTAGACTGGTGAATTTAAAGTCTTTGAAATCACTTTGAAACCCTTTCCAGCTTTATGTAAATCAACTATTCTTGATCATAGATCCTCTGAAAGCTGTTTTTGGTGAGGCATGGCTCTCATAAGCATATTCTTCTTGTGTGGAGCAAACTCAAAAGGTTTGAGTGTTTTTATCAAAGTAGCTCTAGTCCACACCTCCAAACTCATTTTCTTAACAAGACTCCAGGTATGCTAACACCTGACTCCAGTTAGCTTTTGTGAGGTCATTAACTCAAGGGTTCACATACTTGTTCCACTAGCACTATTTTTATGGTTCAAGACATGAAAGATCAGAATTTTTTTTTGTGTTGTTTTTGTAGTCACATTATATTCATCAGTACTCTTGACTTAGATGAAGATCAGATCACATTATGACAAATTAATGCAGAAAACCATGAAATTCCAAAAGGTTCACATACTTTTTCTTGCCACTGTATATCTGTTCAGTTTGTAATTTAATATTGTATTTTTTTATGTGATGCTTTGTTAAACCTTGTCCAGAGCCCTTTGTTCCAGAAGAGCCACCGTTCCCCACCCCCAGCTCCCCTCCAGCCCCAAGACCTCCAGACCCTCTTCCTTCCCAGGAGCCCTCCTCAAGTCCCAGCAGACACAACATGGGGCTGGCGCCTGGTTCTGTTTCAGACCCCTTCTCCTTGTCTGGAGGGTCATGTGTAGCAGAGCAGGGGCTGCTGGGTAGCGTTTTGTCCTTGTGTGAGGATGTAAGTGGAGGAGCCGAACCTCTGTCTCCTTGGGCAGGAGAGGGAGGGTATGGCAGGGCACCTGGATTTGAGAGGGAGGATCAGGTGAGAAGGACAGATAATGGAAAAGGGGAACACGTGCATAAATTCAAGAAATAGAAAATACTCTCAAGTGATGTTATAGTTGGAACAAAAGAGGCCCATCCTTCATGGTTTTATGTCGGCATTCTTTTGTTTGTGATTTCAGGCCAAACAAAGGAGTTTTGCTTTAGAGCAGCGACACCGAGAATTGGCATCAGGGCAAAGCAAACAGGTAAAATTATAACCTTGAACTCAAGGTGTTTCTGTTATTTGTTTGTTTTTTAATCTTTTGCGTGTGGTCTGAAAATCAGCATATTTTACACCTGTTTATTTTCTAAAACGACATTCATTCTCCTTCAGGACCTGCTGGTGTTTCTGCCAGTGGGCAGTCCTTTGAGTCTGTCCTCCAGCATCCCCTCCAGTCTGGCCGCCACGCCGCCCAGCCCCGCCCCTCTCGGACCACTGGGATCTGGCATCTCCTCAGGGATGAATGCTAACGCCCTGCCCTTTTACCCCACCAGCGAGACAGTGGAGTCTGTTGTAGGTGAGTTGGGATGTACAAATTTCTGAATCTTCAGTTTAAACAGTAGTGCCACTAAAAATACTAAGCATCTGTGTCAGCGCTGATACAATTCCACTCCTTATTTAGAAGGAGGGTCTTGTATTTGAGTCATTTGCGTTTTTGAGATGCACATCACGCAACGGATTAGCTGCTATATTAATCAGTCCAGCTGTCTGCACTGCTTACCTGTTGGCTGGCGTATCACTTGTGCCTTACGCATGTAGCCATGACCTGAAGCCTATTTTTAGCTTGAAGTTTTAGCCCTCACTAACTCGGCGGGGATAAGGCTCAAAGCCTGTGAGGCCGCGCTG